TATTTCAAAATTTGACAGCTACAAGTGGTTTAAACACTTGAAATTATGAATGTTTGTTTTTATGAGGGACAAAATAAAGTAAAAATCATTCACTCCATTTAAATCAGAGTGTTCAGTTGAAAAATGATGAATTCTTCAATAGATACTTGAGAACTTTATCACATTACAGCATAGACCTTCAGGTCCGCCCAAGGTGGATACTGGCTGAATTGGTATGGTAGTTGTAAAGGTGGTAGTGGGGTGCACAGGTAACACTAGGTTGACATATGGGCTATAAAAGGTTGGTTGGCGGGGGGGGAGGTAATGTGGCAGGCCACTGGTGGCATAGGGGTTTTAAAAGACCATGGGATTGGATAGAAGACCATCAGCTGCCAGACAAGTATGAGGAGCCATGGGGGTGTGGGTGGAGAGGAATAACTTGGCATGCAGTCCAAGGTGAGATGGGTCTTAGGGGGAGGAGCACAGGTTGGCATGAAGGGTATGAGAAGCCATAGGGATGGGTAAAGTGACACGGCTCAGCACAGAGGGTAGTCAGGAATGAGTAAGGGGTCTAAGTGGCCTGGGAAGTGAGAGGGCAGAGGATTTTTAACAAAATTAATTGAAGTACTGAAATACAAAGGCAGGCATTCTACCTAGTCCACTTCTACACCTGGCAACTTCTTCACTGTTTTTAGTGTCACCTACCATCACTCCTGTTTTTACTTCCTCCCACCACCACCATTCATGCCCACTCTCCAGAACAAAAACTGAAAGTTCGCGATCAGGTTTTTGGAGCTGGGAATCTTCCTGATTCTGTTCGGAACAAATTTGGAGTGTTTGCATATGCACTGTGTAAAATAGGGGCCAGCTCCTCAATACACTAACATCTCCAAGATACTTTCCCAGGGCTGTCTAGACAGAGAGGCAGACAATCAATTCATTCAATTAAAGTCCCAGTTTGGGGGCATTTTGCACCAGTTCCAGTATTTTACTGATGTTGGAATTCACAACCTGGACTGTGAATCAGCCTATGGAAGGGTTTCTCCTCCAACTAAAAGGTGGTCAGACTGTTCTTCTCAGTTCAGGTCTCTGATTAGGTTTGCAACAATGGGCACCTGCCTGCCATTGCTAATATGTTGATGACCACGTAAACGGCTGTCAACTGGGAAACTTCTTGAAGGTTGTGCCAGAAGGTAATCTGATGATGTAAGAGAGCTTGGATCTCCTTCATCTCTCCAATAGGATTCATCAATGTGATTGTTTCAGAAGATGTTGTTTGCCCTGATCTCTCTCAGCACTGAGGTTCTGCAAAGCTGCACTGGGCTATGCACCCAATAATAAGAAGTTGCTGCTCAAAAGTCTGAGGGCAGCTTTATTGTAATTTCTCTGCAGGTAGCCACAGAATTTGGGTCATTTGTTCATCAGTCGGATTTCTACCCTAATCATGGTTTCCCTTGCAATTTTTTCTGAGGTTGAATTGTCAGATACATTGAATTCAATTTTGGAGCTGACTAAGATTATTGGATGATTACTGCACTTCTAGCTTAGTACCAAATCCATTGTACTAATGTATCCCTTTGGCATTACTTAAAATGACAAAATACTGTAATTTATATATAGAAGATAAAATACATTTAAGGTGCTTCACAAAACCAAGCATCAAGATCCATTTCAAGATATCATTGTACCCTGCTTTGATAAAAAACATTTAACTACAGTCATCAACACATAACTACTGGATGTTATTGGATAGAAAATATGTTTTGAAACTCAGCAGGTAGTTACATTCTAGACTGAAACTAAAGAATGATCAAATTAAAGACAGGGATAGTAGGAACTGCAGATGCTGGAGAATCCAAG